GGCAACGGCCTCTCTGACTGCTTGGATATGTCATAGACAGCACCTTTAGGCCAAAAGTCATGATGCAATAAGAAAAAGAGACTGGAGGAAAGCAAAGGAAATACTGCATAGTGGACGGTTTACAAGGCAGGGCAGGTGTAGAATGAGGATCGAGAGGAGAATCCTGTCCGAGCTCAAACAGGTCTAGTTGGTCACATTTTGGGTGTAAAGATCATATTGTAATGAGAAGTATAAAGAAAGTGTGAGAAGCAAGGACTAGAGTAGGAGGCAGTAGCTCTTGAAGCGCCAATTTGGAAGGAATGAAAGGACATGGGTGATAGGAAAGTTTGTCAGAAAGCTGAGTAAGGAATGAGTAGGGAAGGGCATTAAAGAGGGCCAGAATGAGGAACACTGGAAAATGGCAGCTGCATATTAACGAGAGAGACGTGAGCTAAGTAGAATGTGAAGAGAAAGTGGCTAAATAAGAACTGGTGTTAAGGGGGAGTGCCTTATGGGAATCTTATTGGAAGCAGCAAGTGTGATCAGTAAAGTGAAAGGTAAAAGAGTCTAAGGCCATGGCCAGTGACAGGGATCTGAAGGTCTGGACTGAACTGAGAGTGCAAATGTATTTAGAAAGGTGTGGAGGAAACAAGGAGGATATTAAAAAGATATATGATCAAGTTGAATGACTGCGTGATTTCACGCAGGGAAATCAACAGCTGACTCCGTCTGGCAGGTTGTAAAGAATGCTTTGCCCTCCATAACCTGGTTTCTGCCCCTACCTAGGACCCTTCATCTCTGTCCTACTGCTGCCATTGTTGGACCAAGTCTTTTTAACCTCTTTGTCAAATTTGTCTCCTCCGTGTTACAGCAGTTCCACATAAAAATGATGCTCCTCCAAGGATTTCAGCCAGTGCCCTCAACAGAGACCACACTAGAGGGAGGTCCTGACCCCTTAGATCAGGCAGATAAGAGTTTTTCTGTGTCCCAGGCTAGGTAAGGTCAACGCCCCATCTCAGCCTGAAGCAGCTCCGAAAGTCTCACTTCAACAACCCATATGATTATGGGTTTGAAAATCTCTCAGGAGGGATTTATAAGGCAGGATAGGTAGCCTAGGAAATTGACCACCCCCTCCAGGATACAACATGAGGCGCCTCACTGGTTACACGAGTAACAGAGTAACTGTATCTGGTACCTGCAGCTGGAGAAAAACAATCAGTTTCATCCAGGCTAATCCCCCTGACCTGGACCTGACTTTAGCTAATTTTAATGTCATTATAATCTCATTTACATTGCGGTTACTATGACTACCAGCATGCATGTAATGCCATGACAGTTCCGAAGAAACCAAATAAGAGAAACTGAGGACCCCACCTACTGGGAAGAAACGGAGGAGCTACATGATTGGGACGTCACCAATTCCCGCCCCCTGGAATTAATAAATAAATTAATAAACACCCTTGATCCAGAGGGATTTCCTCAGAGCCACTCCCTCTCTGAGTTCACCCTCACTTCCCTCTCAAGTGTGTTCTTTCTTTTCAATAAACTCCCTGTGCTTTCCTGAAAATAAATAAATAATTTTAAAAGGGGGAGATATTCTCTCAGAATCAACCTGTGATTTAATGATTGTTGAAATTTTTCAATGAAGACGCTACAAACTGCTTTTATAACAATAAAAACTATAATTAGAGAGCCACATAATATTGCCTTTTCTTTCCAAAATTTTAATATGTATTTTTTAATAGAAAATACAACATATTTCTCATCCATTTAACCAATTAACCCCCCCCAAAAAATGAAATAACATGATTACTAGTATGCTTATAAAATAAGTTTTTAGCAAGATACATAGAAGTAATATTTTCAACATTTTATAAGAATCTGGTATAAAAGTTAAATAAAACCTTTTTGAAATGACAAAATCAGTTTATCAAACCTGCATTCCTTCAAAGAGACATTTGCATTTCTTGTCCTGGCTTGAAAACAGAACAAAAAACAAAAACCCCTCAAATTCATCCAAATCAATTAACTACATTGGCTAAACTGCACCAAGTTCACAAGGATACGTGCTGATAAAAGCAATAAATGCAAACTCAGGCAAACCTGATAGTATCAAGTAAACAAATGGTAAGTTTAGAAGGACCTTCTGTAATAAAATTCCTTTAATTTACTTGGAGCTATTATAGGTTTCAGAGGGTACACACGTACCTATTGCACATCACTCTTCACAGCATTCCTGAAGGAGGAAAAACAATGGCATTCCTGTTTTACTGAACAGAAAACTAAGGTGACTCGTTTAAGATCACACTGTTTTGCGCAACTAGCCCCCGCCCCCCACACACACACTGAAAAATGTTTAAGTTTTCTTTCCTATAGAAATGTTAAGTATAGATGTTAAGTCTCCTCCCTAGTTTCTTAGTTCTTAGCTCCTGGTTTTGATTACTCTTCTAATCAGTATCTGAATCATAGAAAATCTATTTTTCCTGATTTAGGGGTCATGGGGATACACATGATACCCCAGCAAGATTGTCAGTCGCAACCAGAGCAGTCAACATGGTTTTCCAGGTGGATCTTGAGACCCCTTCCTCTCATTTGAGATCAGATAGGGTAAGAGTTCCATGAATCCCCCAATAGACAGACACCTCTACGCCCCTGCCCAGCAGGAAGCAGATACAGAAGAAGAGACCTCCTGTCCCTCAGCTTCCCATAGAGATTTTATGGAGATCACGTCTCTCAAGGGGAAAACTAGGCAGGCAGTTAGAGGCAGGCATCGGGTCTCTGCATTCCTGCACGTCCCACAGAATGCAACCGCCCAGGAGACCTCCCCTCTCCACCCAAAACTTCCTCTTTTCCCAATGCTGCAGGGAAACAAATGGATACAAAACAGATGAGGTAATAACCTCTTGTCAATCACAGGTGCCAATCAAGTGGTCCCCAAAGAGGAACAGCCCATT